GTGGAAGCCTCGCGTGACTTCGCGGCAAGCCACCTTCGACGGGACTTCATGATATCTTGTTCCTCTCCTCCCGTTCCTTCCCTTCCTGATTCGAATCCTCCTCCGCCTTTCCGTCATCTCCCTGTTTTATCAGCCTTCTCCTTCTCCGCCTCATCCCCCTTCTCCTTCTCTGCTTCCGCCCCCCCGGACGATCAGGAGAGCAGAGTTGGCAGACCACGAGGGAGAAGAGGGGGCCACCGGCGACACCTCACCGTGGGCCCAGGCTCGGCCTTCCGAACAAGCCGACGCACCACAGAAACGCTTTCGAAGTGTACCGTGGCAGCCATCCCGCGCCCTCTGGGCGCCCCCAACCTGGAGGCAATGTGGAGGAGCCCCTCGCGCCTGGCAGCCCGCCGCGGCACCGCGCCCGTCTCGCTCGCCCGGCAAGGAGCAGCCGACGGCGACTCTGGGGCCCCCCTGGACGGGGACGCTGGTAGCCCCAGGGCGCAGGCGCGCCCGAGACGACTGCACTCGCGTGTCGCAGCGTGCTTCACTCGTCGTCTCCAGGTGGGCGTGCCGCGCCAAGTCAGCCCTGGCCCACCGCGCACCGGCGCGACGCGCTATTCGCGACCCAGTGCCTGAGCGTCGACGTCGCGAGGCCCTCCGGGCCTCCCGCCCCGCGGAGCGGAATGACGCGCTGTCCGCTCGCGTGGCAGAGCGCGCCGCTGAGGCCGCCGCTGCGACGCGCTGCGCACGACAAGCTCCTGGCCGCAGCCTGTCGAAGGCGACGATCGGGGGCGAACCGCCCAGGGGCGGGGGTGCCCTTGGCGTCCGTGCCCATGTGGTCGATCCTCGACCAGTTTCGCTGGGCCCAGCGCGCTCGAGGAAAGCTTCGGAGCAAGGCCTGCGTCCTCGTCGCGCCTTCTTGCTAGCCGTGCTGACTGCACTGCCCCCGCAGCGCGGCTGCTGCGGGGGGCTGCTGCTTCGGGGCCCGCCCGCGGGCTCCGCGCGGGCGGGCGCGCGCGCGCTGCGGGCCGTCTGCGGGCGGGGGCTGCCGAGGCTGGGGCCAGGAGTGGCCGTGCTGGCCGGGCGAGCGGCGGCAGGGAGGAGCCTGCAGCACGCGGGCGGGGGGGGGGGGGGGGGCAACCAGAAGCCCCCGCCTGGGGCTGGGTCTTCGCCTCTGTCGTCGCCCCCGAGTCTCCGGGGGCCCCCGGCGGGGACGGTGGCGAGGGGCACTGTCGTGCGCGCTGCCCTCGGGGGCGGCCGTGAGGAGGGGATGGGGGCCCGAACGGGGGGTCTGGTCACCCCGCATTCCAGTCCCCCTGCACGGCCCTCCCCATTTCCCAGACCCCCTCGAGTCACGAAAAAGTCACGACGGGAGGTGTTTCGCTATATACGGCCCTCTGGGGGCCCTTACCGGACCTCGGGGCCGTCGGAAAACGACTCGGGATGATCAGAAAGATAATTATCGGGTTGGGGAGATGGTGTTGGGAGATTTGATCTGATCATTTGTATTATCGCGTATGTTGAAGGCACTCATGAGACTGGCATGTGCACGGGCATTGGCCGTCGCATCCTACAACCCCCCTGCAGCTTGAATTGCCTGCCGATTGCGCTGGTACTTCTTCTTGAATTTGGGTTGGTTCTTCGCTTTCCTATCGCTGTAAATGACGTTCCCGCTCATCGCGTTCGCGCGTCTCCCCGTCATCGCCAGCTGTTTCTCCTGAAGAACCCTGCTCTGCGCGTCACTGGCTGGGCCTCTATAGTTTGGAATTACCTCTGGGCTCCGATCGGTAGCGATGCTGCACCGCTGGTGCCAACGACTCATGCAGAAGCCATTGCGAAACCTATGCGTAACGGAAGCGGACCAACGCAGTAGTGATTCCGCATCGCGGACGGGACGCAGTACGGGATTCATTATTCTTTCCGCTTCAGGAACGGAACGCAATACGGAATCTGCTGCGGTCCCGCGACCTCCCAAAATTTGTATGAGCACGAGCAACAATTCATTTGTGAATTCCGTATCAGCAACGGGTCGCGATACGGAAACCGATGCGGAATTCACTGTTCACTGGGCAAGTGCCGGACCCCTCGGCATTGTTCATGCCCTTGGTCCACCTCCAGTGTTCACCGCGTCGTTTCAACACCTGAGATAGTCCAAGATGGCACTGAGAGGGCCCAGAACACACACAAGAGGGCTCTTGGAGGGCCCCACCGAAGGCCTCGGCAGGGCTCGAAGACGGCCCCGGGAGGGCAGCGAAGTGGGCTGCAGGTTGCAACCTGCGTCTTGGGAATTTCCCAGGGGTCCAAGATGGCCCCGAGAGGGCCACGAAGTAGGCTGCAGGTTGCAGCCCGCTTCTTGGGACGCTTGCGCGGTGTTGGATTGGCGGCCCATGCGCTGCGGTGACAACACGTTTCCCCTTCGCTAGACGCAGGCGCCCGAAGGTGTCGTTCATTGCATCCGGATGCTTTTGCTCATACCCTGCATTCTCCCAACCCCTTCCTCCCAACACGATGATTGTCTATCTCAGATGAAAAACCGGTCCCGACGAATGGGTCCGGACCTCTGGGGTTCGTGTCAGGGCAAAATCATGACGTCGGGCATCTGGAAATGGAATGGGGGTGGTCCCACATGGGGGGGCCCCAGAGGGACCCCTAAAGAACCCCTTCAGCCCCGCCCCCCCCCCCCCCGTGGAGAAATGGGGCCCTGCAGGGGCCCGTCAGGGCCCCTAGAAGTGGGGAGCCCGAGTGGGCGCAGAGCGTGCGAGGCGAGGTCCGCGGGAGGGCAAGGGGGGATGGAGGTGATCCAGATTTGCAGGGCAGGCCAGGTTCGAACATGATAGCAGGACTCTTTCCTCTCTCTCCCCCTCCCTCCCTCCCCCTCCTTTGCACCCTCCTTCCCCACCCCCCACACCCTCCCCCTCGCTGCTTCCCCGTCCCGTTCCCCTTCCTGCCCTTCCCCCTCCTCCTCCTCCTCCTCCTCCTCCTCCTCTTCCTCCTCCTCCTCCTCCTCCTCCTCCTCCTCCTCCTCCTCCTCCTCCCTCCTGCCGTCGAGGCGCGGAAGGGAGGGCCACTCTGGGCTCAGGAGGCGCGCCTGGGCGCGAGACGCCGTCGAGGAAGGGCCACTTTGGCCTCAGGAGGCGCGCGTGGGCGCGGTGATGCGGGCCGGTCCGTGGAGCGCTGCAGGTCGAGGAGCGTCTTCGGGGCGGAGGCTCACCGTGGCCGGGAGGGACAGGCTCGTTCCTTGCTGGGCGTTCCCCGTGGCGGCAGCAGCAGCAGATCCCGCACGGCCACAGGGCCCGTCCTGCACAGGGCACGGGAGGAGCACGGCATGCACAGGCTTCCTGCCACACGCAAGCGCGCACACACAGACACACACACAGACACACACACACAAACACACAAACACACAAACACACAAGCACTGCACACGCACCACACCACAACACGGCACAGCACAACACGAACAACAGCGTAACACACACGACACACACACACAGCGAAACCAAACAAGAGACAACATCACGGTACACCCACACAACACAGCACACACGCACCTTTGTGATAGCACGATGGCTGCGCTCTTGCTCCCCAGGTGCCGACGATGAAGAAGCTCGGGAAGGACGACCAGCAGGATGGCTTCGACGGCGCGGAGGCCTTTCAGGTGTTGATGGAGGAGTTGTTCAAGCTGTGTCCCGCGGGCAAGTTCGTCAGCCCCATGGTCCGCAGCGATACGCGATGCTAGGATTAGAAGGTGACGGGAAAGGAAGGGGATTGTGGAAGGGAGCGAAACAGAATGTGTTTGCAGCTCGCAGCAGTAAGCAGGCAGGCTATGGCGAATTATTTGAAGAACAGAAGAGAAGAAAGCTGGAGGATGAGGGCGAGGATGCAGTATACTCCAGCAGTGGCACGGCATATACCGAGCATGCTTTGCGTTTGTTTTTGGAACGTACCTTTGGCGTTCCAGCCTCAGCTACAGCTGTGGAAGTGCTCCTCGAATTTCTGATGCGCGTCGCGCGGTGAGGGGGCGAGACGCGCACGAGGTGGCGCGCAGCGTTCTGTTCAGTTTCTGGGGTGAGGCTCGCGTGCCACGGAGCCCGTCGCAATTGTCGGTCGTTGAATGGCAAGGGTGACATTCACGCCCGTGGTGATGGTGACGTTGCACAAATTTGTGTAGTGATAGTGGAACTCATGATGCTCGTTATTGTGGGAGCTGCGGGCCAACATCCAGATGATACACATGATGGTGAGCATAATGATGGCAATGATGCTCATCTGGATGGAGGCCGTATGATGTCCGAACGATAGTGGCGAGTGTGGTGTTGTCGATCTGAGGGAGGTTTGGCCTCGATGATGCAAGCCCTTCCCGTTCCCCTGAAAGTCGTAGCGAAGACGCGTTGCTGGGGCCGGGCGGGTCGGGGTGGTGTGGTGGTGTTTTGAAGGTTGTTTGACTTCATATTCTTCGGTCAGCGACCCCTGGCAAGTCCATCCCCACGATCGCCCCAAGCCCTGGAGCATCATGAAGCCGACTTCCAGTTCCGAAGGAGAACCACGTTCTTTCAAGGCTGCCGTGTTGCCTAGCCTTCCGGAGGCTTCTTGTTGAAGCATGCTGGGTCAGCATCATGCTGAGAATTGGTGCGAACCTTTTCTCTCTCTCTCTCTCTCTCTCGCTTTCTCTCCTTCTTCCCCTTCTCTCTCGCGATGTCTCTTCCCCCCCCTCTCTTCCTTCCTCGCTCTCTGTCTCTCTTTCTGTACGTCTCTGTCTCTCTCTCTCTCTCTGTCTTTGTTTCCAACCATCCTGTAGTGTTGGGTCCTCGTTTTGAAGAGACAGCGCCCCGCATTCCTCACTCCTTCCTCCTCCCCCTGATCCCTTTCTTCCTTTTCCTCCTCCCTCCTCCCATCGCCGCCCGCGTCCCAGCCGTGTCTCTGCCTTCATTTCGGCATACCTTTCACACGTTTCGTGGCCCCATCGGGAGCTCAACCGAGTGTTCTGTGGCGCAGTTCGCATGTGGGCGTCACGCCCGGTTCGGCACACCCCTCACGCGCTTCGTGGCTCCATAGGGGGCTCCACCGAGTGCCTCCGTGAAGCAGTTCGCATGTGGGCGTCTCGCCCGTTTCGGCACACCCCTCACACGTTCCGTGGCCCCATATGGAAGGGAGCTCCACTCGGTGCCTCCGTGGCGCAGTTCGCATGTGGGCGTCACGCCCGTTTCGGAACACCCCTCGCACGTTTCGTGGCCCCATAGGGGGTTCCACCGGGTGCCTGTGTGGCGCAGTTCGCATCTGGGCGTCACGCCCGTTTCGGCACACACCTCACACCTTTCTTGGCCCCACAGAGAGCTCCACTGAGTGCCACTGTGGCGCAGCTCGCATGTGGGCGTCACGCCCGTTTCGGCACACACACACACACACACACTGTGACACGCGCACAAACACACAGACATGCACACACACACACACACACACACACACACACACACACACGCACGCACGCACGCACGCACGCACGCACGCACGCACGCACGCACGCACGCACGCACGCACGCACGCGCACACACACACACACACACACACACACACACACACACACACACACACACGCACACACACACACACACCTCACACGTTTCGTGGCCCCATAGGGCGCTCCACCGAGTGCCTATGTGGCGCAGTTCGGTTGTGGGCGTCACGCCCGTTTCGGCACACTCCTCACATGCTTCGTAGCTCCATAGGGAGCTCCACAGAGCGCCTGCGTGGCGCAGTTCGCATGCGGTTCCCTATTAATTCTGGCACCCCGCTCACACGAGTCTTGGCCCCATCGGGAGCTCCACTCGGTGCCTCCGTGGCGCAGTTCGCAAACGCTTCCCCCCAATTTCGGCACACCGCTCACACGTTTCGTGGCCCCATAGGGAGCTCCACCGAAAACGATGGCCACAACGCGGCATTCACAGTTGCACTTGGTCGGGTCCTTTGTCAGAATTATTTGTTTGTGTATTCCCCACATGGTTCGTGTGGTTCTGGTGTTCTTCTCTGTCGCGTCGCACCCGCGTCTTCCACCGGCCTCCCTCTCCTTATCCCTCTCCTCACGCACACACAGACACACACAACACACACACACGATGTATGCGTACATACTGGGCACACACATGAAGCACACGTCCCGATACGGCCGCACACGTGGGCCATGGCGCAGGGCATAGCAGGCGTGCCACTTTCTCGACACCCTCGGGGGTGCGCAAGGGGTGGTCCCCGAGCGCGGCGTCTCTGCGGACCATGGCGCAGGGCATAGCAGGCATGTTCTCGACACCATAGGGGGTGCTCAGGGGGTGGTCCCCGAGCGCGGCGTCTATGCGGGCCATGGCGCAGGGCATAGCAGGCGTGGCACGTCCTCGACACCATAGGGGGTGCGCAGGGGGTGGTCCCCGAGCGCGGCGTGTATGCGGGCCATGGCGCAGGGCATAGCAGGCGTGGCATTTTCTCGACACCATAGGGGGGTGCGCAGGGGGTGGTCCCCGAGCGCGGCGTCTCTGCGGACCATGGCGCAGGGCATAGCAGGCGTGGCACGATCTCGACACCATATGGGGTGCGCAGGGGGTGGTTCCCGAGCGCGGCGTCTATGCGGGCCATGGCGCAGGGCATAGCAGGCGCGGCACTTTCTCGACACCATAGGGGGTGCGCAGGGAACGGCCACCAACATCATTATCACATGCTTCAATTCAGCTGCCATCACTCCAGCCATCATATAAGTATGTGGGATTCCTCGGTAGCGTAAGTTATTTTCTTTTTCTATTTCACTCTCTCTCCCTCTATTTTTATATCACTTTCCCTTCCACCTAATTGTCCTCAATCTCTTCACGCGATGCCGCGTGAGGCCATGATCGTCCACATGACACGCCCTCAGCTGCGCCTCGCCTGGAGATCCCGAGCAGCCGGCGGATCTCCCGATCATGCGTGGTATTCGTACTACGTGGTTGGGGCTCTCAGCACCCGGTATAGCACGAAGCCCAACGAGGGGACACAGCATGGAGAGAAAGAGAGAGAGAGAGTGTGTGTATGTGTGAGAGAAACAGAGAGACAGAGAGAGAGAGAGAGAGAGAGACAGAGAGAGCCAAAGTACAAGCGAGAGCCAGGTGCAAGCGAGATCTTGAGATGGGGATGGGAACTGCTGCCAGTCGCTACCGCGCCAGACTCGCAGCTGCGAATGGCAGACCTCCGTTGCTCCTCAGCGCTCGCGTGCTCCATGTTTCGCGCTGCCCACCGGCGTGCGCCCGCGCCGCCCCTTCGGGCGTCGTGAGGCCGATGGGCACGTGACGGATATGCAGACGACGACCACGACCACGACAACGACGACCACGACGACGACGACGACCACGACGACGTCGACGACGATGACGACGCATCCCCGACAGAGGCGGGAGGTGGAAAGGGAGGCCCCAGGGGCAGGGGCGTGGCGAAGGACGAAGGGGATCGTTTTGTCCAAGCGGGGCGTGCGCAGGGAGGGGGGGGGGGGGGCGGGTGGGACAGGCGAGTTTTGCGGAAGCTGGTGGGTCCGCCGATCCCGCGAGCGCAGCGTCGTTTTTTGCTCGCGGCCCCTTGGTCGCTCCCCGATCCACTCTCCCTGCCTCTGCTTCTGCTGCTCTAGTTGTCATGTCTATTGTCGGGTATTGGGCTGGTGGTTCCCTTTTTCGTGTTCCCTGGTTTGTTACCCTTGCGGATTGCTCCCAGGCAAGCTTCCTAGCCAGCTCGTGGTAGACATCTGGGCATCCGGGCATCGTCGGGCAAAGGCTGCTCTGGAGCTGCTCCGCCCTGAGTGAACCTCATTGCCTCATCCTTATCAGAGTGAGGGGGCCGAGCGGTCCTACATCTTACACCCTCCCTGGATGCGTGGCCGAAGTGTGATTCCACGGCGCGGATTCTGCTTGCTGCGCTGCGTGCTGCGTTGCCGTCGTCGTCCTCGCCCAGGAGCCGCCCGCGACCCACCCCCCTCAACTGGGGGACTAGGTATTTCCACTAAGTCGGGCCTGTCCCTCTACAGGGGGAATATTCAAAACGAGTAAAACAATAGTCGGGGGACGATTTGTGGAGCATTGTTCGACCACTTGGGGTTTGTCGGGGGTATTTCTCTTATGTTTCGCCCAAAATTTCGGCCTGTAGGGGGACAGGCCCGCCTTGGCAGTTCCACTCCGTCTTCATCTGAGGGACCTCCTCATCCTACCGCGAACGAAGGATTGCAAAAAAAACCAAGGATTGCAAAAAAACACCTTTGGACGAGGGATTGCAAAAAAACCCTTGGGGTTTTTTGCAATCCTTCGTCCAAGGTTTTTTTGCAATCCTTCGTTTGGGTTTCTTTGCAATCCTTCGGGGAGGTGTCAGGACGCCTGTCCCTTCGCTCCCCTCCCGCCCTGCCTCCTCCCGCCTGCCTCCCCTCCCTCTTCTTGCCGGGCCGCCGGCCCCAGGATACGTCGGGGCACGGAGAACCCTCTGGTGAGCGAGGACGCGGCGTGGTGTCGCCCCTCGTCCCAGCAGCGCTCCCGTCGTCGTCGTCGTCGTCGTCGTCGTCGTCGTCGTCGTCGTCGTCGTCTTCTTTTTTCCCTTCGTCGTCGTAGCAGTCGTTGGGGCAGGAGGCGGAGAAGGATGATAGAGGGGGATGGGATGAGGGGGATGAGGGAGGCGGGAGTTCGGGGAAGATCCCATGGAGGTCTGGGATTATTGGGAGGAGTGCGGCAGGAGGAAGGTGGGGATGAGGGAGTCGTGAATTAGGTCTTTGGAGGGCTTTGGACGGGCAGGTTGGGACAGGATCAGGAAGAGAAGCAGCAGTGGATCATGGCATAAGAGGTCGGAGGCAGATGAGGACAGGCGGGGGGAACGAAGGAGACATCGGTCACACCGGTTTTCCTGTGTATACCGACGCATTCTCGAACGCTTTTCGTCACGGCCCGTTTTTTATTTCTTCGTGCGTGATCGCATCTCGCGTTGATGGCGCGCGCGTGTCACACTTGGCGTTGATGATGGTTCCGTGTGCGTCGAATTGGCGTCGTTGATGGGTCCGCGCGCGTCACGTAGAGGCGTCAAGAGAGGACGGCTCTGCGCGCCGTCACATGTTTCCGTCAAACGGCGCCTCCGCAGTTGACGTCCCGACGCGTCCTCAAATAGAGGCGCCAAATGCGGATCCCTCGTCGAGTGCAGTCGTCAAGAGCGAACGTCTCTCCAAGCAGAGGCGTCGAGAGCGGTGTTATCGTCGCTGTTTGCGTCAACCTCGGACTTGTCTGAAAGTAGAGTGGCATCAAACTCGGCAGTGTCGCCAGGTGGATGTGTCAAGGCTGGGCATCTGCATTCACAAGCTCGCCTCCGCACGCGATTCTTCTTGCTTGTATTCATGCTGCAAGGATCGGCGAGACGTTCCCTTCACCCCCGTCTTCCTTAGGACCTGGCCCCGCTGCCTTCACAGTGAGCCTGCGTGCAGTCGCCCCCTTGGGCGGCGGCCGAGCATTTTCTGATGCGTGCGGTGTCTAGTGGCGCTCGGCTTCCGCCCGCCATTCGACACGTTTGTCCCCAAGGCTTCGCATAGAATCGCATCTGGCCTGGATCATTTCGCGCCCTCGCGGCTCTGTGCGGCAGGTCGTGTCGGCGTCGCTTGCCCCGTATAAGGGGCCCTGCCCGGCAGAAGACCAGCAAGGCTCGTGAGACTGCGTTCTTGCGTGGCTCTCTCCATCGTGGACGCGTCGCTGAATGGCATGGCTTCCTGAGGTACAGTGGAGACCCATGCCAAGAAACACCCTGCGTGCCTCCTGGGTGCCCTGTCTCGGGTTTCGACGGCTTTGCTGTGGAATCGCCACGCTCCCACACCAAAAGTCAGTGGACGTCCTGGGGCTTCTGGTGGAAGGTTTCTGGTGGACTGGCCTCCGCTGTGCCATGTTCCCTGTGACTTTGGTTGCGGGTCCCGGCTTTGCCCCCGCCAGCGGGGCGCGCCCGCGTGGATGCGGCGCTTCCCTGCCGCACGCGCGCCCAATGCCCTTGCCGGAGGGGGGCGGTGCGGGAGGCTGCCCCCCCAGCTGGCGGCTGGCACTGTTCCTCCTCGTCCTCGTCCTCCTCCTCCTCCTCCTCCTCCCTCCCTCCCTCCCTCCCTCCCTCCCTCCCTCCCTCCCTCCCTCCTCTGGGCATCGGCAGCACACCCACGCTGGACTCCAGTCGAAGAAGAAGAAGAAGAAGCGCCACAAACACTTTAACTTGTTGCGCTCCGCGCGGATTTCTTGGATCCGCGCCGGGCTCCCCCCCGGCGGCGCCTCCGGCGCCGCCCCTGGCGGGCGGGCTCCGCGCGCCAGGGAGGGGGGTCCAGCGCAGATCCAAGAAGTCCACGCGGAGCGCCAAAAGCTCATGTTTGTGGCGTTTCTTCTTCTTCTTCTTCTTCTTCTTCGACTGGAGTCCAGCGTGGGTGTGCTGCCGATGCCCAGAGGAGGGAGGGAGGGAGGGAGGGAGGGAGGGAGGAGGAGGAGGAGGAGGGGAGGAGGAGGGAGGAGGGAGGAGGGAGGAGGAGGGAGGAGGGAGGAGGGGGAGGAGGAGGAGGGGAGGAAGGAGGGAGGAGGGAGGAGGGAGGAGGGAGGAGGGAGGAGGGAGAGGGGAGGAGGGAGGAGGAGGAGGAGGAGGAGGAGGGAGGAGGAGGAGGAGGAGGAGGAGAGGAGGAGGAGGAGGAGGGGGGCCAGCTGGGGGGGGGCACGCGGGGGAGCCGTCCGGCGCCAAGGTGTTCGCAGAGCTGTCGAGACGTGCAGTGTGCCAGGGGCGGCGCAGAAGGGCAGGTGCCCCGACGGCAGGCCCTGCTCCTGCGTGCGGGGGCAGCGTTAAGTTGGGCCTGTCCCTCTACAGGAGGAATGTTCAAAAATAGTCAAAAAGTAGTCTGGGGACGATTTCTTGAGTATGTTTAACCAGATGGGGGCATTTCTTGAATTTGTTAAATTTTTGGTCCGAAATCCGCCTGTAGGGGGACATGCCCGACCTAAGGGTAGCGGGAGGTGGTGTTCTTCGGGCGCCTTCCCGCTTTTTTGACGAGCAGGGTCGGGCGACAAGCGCTGCCGCAAGCGCCCCGAAGAGGCGCCCGACTCAGTCGGGCACCTTGGGGAGCTGCGCGATACGCCGCGCCGCCAGCGCCGCGAGTTCGGATACGCTGCCCCCCGCGCAGCGCATGTCGTGCAGCAGGAGCAGGGCTTGCCCCCGCGCCGGCAGCCGCTCCCTCCACCCTGGGCACGCACTCCCGAGCGCCTCCGCCGGCGTCGCTGCGTTGGCGCCGCTCCGGAGACAGGTGGCATGGCCCGGCCCCTGCGTGAGGGCATGCGGCAGCCACGACCGCCCTGCGAAGGGGCGCCGCTGGCATGGGCGCGCGCCCAGCAGGGGCGGCGGCGCCCGGCGGCGCGGAGCCCGCGCGAGCCCGAACCCCGCGGCGCACGCTGCGCCAGTCGCGCGGCCGACGGCGGGCGGTGGGCGGCGCCGCTGCCATGGCAGCCAGCTGCGTGGCTGCGAGCACGCGTCGCGCTGCCTCCAGCTGCTCGAGCTTCCGTCGGCGCGCTGCCACCGCTGCCTGAGGCGGGGCCCGCTGCGCGGCGGCCGCGCCAGCGTTGCCGTCGGGCGCCCTCCCGCACAAATCGCGATGGGAGTTTTTTGTTTGCTCCATTTCTATCTAGTGCCCTTCGGCCCACTCCGCCACCGTACCGTGCCCAGGACTGTAAGTCGGAGGCCTCTTGGATGCCTGTGGGGATCTCGCGTGGGATGCCTCTTGGGATTCTCTTGGAGGCGGTGTCGGGGCCTTTTCGAGGCCGTTACGGGCCTGGTTGGGGCCTTTGGGGAGCCTCCTAGGGCTTCTTGTAGTGTCTCGGGGGCCTCTAGGGGGCTCTTAGGGCCATCTTGGGGCGGAAGGCTCGAAATGTCCGTTCGGGCTCCTTCTGGTGCTCCGTGGGCCCTCTTGGGGCCGTCTTAGGGGGCCTCTTGGGCCGTCTTGTACCGTCTTGGGGCCCTCCTGAGCTGTTTTGGAGCCCTGTTGGGAGCTTCTTGGGCCGTCTTACGGCAATTTGGAGGGCCACTTGGGCTGTCCTGTAGCATTGGCAACCCGAAACAGCGAGAACGCTAGCATATTTGAAAAAGCGAAGGGGCATTTAGGATGTTCGCCTCTCGGGGCCCTCTTGGAAGTGTTCTTGGAGCCCTCCTGGTGTCTTCGTGACCTCCTCGGGCGTCTGGGAGCCATCTTGGACGTCTTGGAGCGGTCTTCCAGTGAGTGACTCTGGGTCCTCTTGGGCCGCGTTGGGGGCCTCTCGGGGGGCTTATTGATAGGTTTGGGGGCCCTGCCGGCTCCGAACAGGTTCTCGCGGGAGCACCACCCGACACGCGGGAAGCCTAGGAGGCTCATGCGATGTTTGGTCCGGGCCCCTTGTCAAAGTCGCTCACTCAAGAAGACAGGACGGGTAACTCCAAGGGACCGGTGGCACGGTGGCGGATGCACCGCAAGGCGCAGACGCATAACGCAAAGGGGGCGCTGTCGTTGGCGGCCTCCCTGCACGAGCCCGTCGGGACGAGCCGGCGGCAGGTGGTGCTCTCGCGCCTGCTGCAGCGCGACAAGGTCGAGAGGACGAAAGGGCTGGCCCCCGCGGAGGCCACTGGAGCTCCTGGGCGACTTGCGGGGACAGGCCCACGGTCGAGGTCGTGGAGCAGCGTGGCGCCCAGGCCAGCGGCGGGGCTTCAGAATGCATCAGTCGCGGCACCGCCGATGCTTCTGTCTCCCGGGCTCCCACTCTTGTCTCGCGTGCCTTGGGGTCCCACCGTGCGGTCTGCCGGCTGCGCGTGGGCACCACCGGTTCTGAACGCACCTTGCAGCTTGCTGGGTGGGCGGCCATGCAGCGAGTGCCCGGGGTGACAGGACCACTTGCTGGCGCGCGGGCAAGCCCTGCTCCTCCTCGGGAACCTGCGAGGCGGCGGGGGCAGCGTGGCAGAATTCGCCTCCTTGGCTGCGCGCCTCATCGCGCATCTGCTTAAGGTGCCCGAGTAAGCAGGCACCTTGCTGGGGCGCTGGCGGCCGCGCCGTTTCGCCCACTGTCCGCGAGTCCAAAAAAGCAGCTTGCTGGGTGGGTTGCAGGCCGAGCCAGGCAGTCAGAACGCGCGCTGAAGCAGGCCCGGCGCCGCCCGTAGGGCGCTCACGGCGCCTGTCCTTCGCGCGCGGGTCGCTGCTGCCGCTGGGTCGCCCGCCGCGGCGCGAGGAGAATCGCGCCGCGCGCGTCGCAATCTGGGCCAGAACGGCTGCCGAGGGCGCGGAAGTTGCAACTAGCCGCGCGCCGCGCCTCGCGGGGCGCCAAGGGCGCGCAGGTGAGTGACCTGGGCGCGGCCGAGGCCGCCCTGCTGGGGCGAGGGGGTTGGGGGGTAGGCGGGGCGGGTGGTGGTGCGGAGGGAGGAGGCGGAGGAGGAGGAGGAGGAGGAGGAGGAGGACCAGTGGAAACCCAAGGGTCATCAACGATGTTGGAATTAACCCTCCCTCCAAGCTCCCGCCCCCGCAACGGTTCATTTCCATTGGGGGAATTGCCTCGCTGGAAGACAACAATTTGAAGATCCTGAGGCGTGCCAAAACATTGCTCTCGGGAATTCAACGCCACGTATCAACCTGATTGCTGCGTCTTGACGATCCAGAATCGTGCCAGAACGGCTTTTCTGGGACTTCAACACATAATCAACACAAATTATGTGCCCGCAAAATCTTCAATCTCCCCAAAACACAATTTCAGGTACGCTGATCATGGAAATCCATGAAACTCTTGCGAATGTTTAAGACGAGTGCGCGCGGCGCTAAGGCGAGAGGTACATGTTGAAAACGACCCGCCCTCAATCCGTGAAACTCTTGCACATGCTTAAATTGAGTGCGCGCGGCGCTGAGGCGAGAACCGCATTTTGAAAACGGCCCGCCCTCAATCCGTGAAGCTCTTGCAAATTGTCAAAACGAATGCGCGCGGCGTTCATGCGACATTTTGAAAACGGCCATCCGTCAATCCGTAAAAACTCTTGCAACTGTTCAAAACGAATACGCGCGACGCTGAGGCGAGAGGCGCAGTTTGAAAACTGCCCGCCCTCAATCCGTGCAGCTCTTGCAACATCTTAAAACGAATGCGCGCAGCGCTAAGGCGAGAGCTACATTTTGAAATCGGCCCGCTTTCAATCCGTGAAACTCTTGCAACTGTTCAAAACGAGTGTGGCGGCGCTAAGGCGAGAACCACAATGTGAAAACCACCCGCCTTCAATCCGGGAAACGCTGACACATGTTTAAAGCGAATGTGTGCGGCGCTAAAGCTAGAACCGCATTTTGAAAACCACCCGCCCTCCATCTGTGAAACTGTTGTTTCATTTTCGAATTCAAGGTCATAAATGGTGAGGAAGTCTCAGGCGAAACGCCCCGGTCGCCCTAAATCCTCGCCTCGCGGTGCGACAGAGGAGTTATCTGTAAGGAGAAGGAATGGAGGAGGAGGAGGAGGAGGAGAAGGAGGAGGAGGAGGAGGAGGACGAGCAGGAGGAGCAGGAGGAGCAGGAGGAGCAGGAGAGGGGGAGGAGCAGAACAGGAGAGGAGGAGGAGAAGAAGAGGAGAAAGGAGGAGGGGAGAGAGGAAGAAGGAGGGGGAGGAGGAGAGGAGGAGGAGAAGGAGGAGGAGGAGGAGGAGCAGCAACAGGAGAAGCAGGAGGAGAAGGAGGAGGAAGATTGGGGGGGGGGGACGCGGTTGTCTGGTCCCCATGGTGGTCACCTGCCCTGGGTTGTGCGCCGCCTGCGGAGGCCGCCCCCCCCCCCGATGTTTTGCTCGGCGGGGCGTGGGTCGCTCTGCTGCCCCCCTCGTGTGGGTGTGCAGCCTCTGGCGGCGAACCGAAGTGTTAACTCCCCTTTCACTCCTCCCCCCCCCTCCCCCTCCCTCTCCTCCTCCTCAACTTCCTCCTCCTCCTCCTCCTCCTCCTCTTCCTCCTCCTCCCCCTCCTATTCCTCCTCCTCCTCCCCCTCCTCCTCCTCCTCCTTCTCCTCCTCCTCCTCCTCCTGCTCCTCCTCCTCGTCCTCCTTCCCTCCTTCTAATGCAGCGCCCGATGCGCAGCGTCGGCTTCGAAGGCGCACTGCGACGCGCGAGGGCGGCCACCTGGGGTGGGTGGCCAGTGAGGAGGGAGAGGTCGAGGGCAGCCCAGGGCAGGTGCCCCTCATAGGGACAAGAGAACCGCAATCCCCCCCCACCCCCAACACCACCCGCCCCGCCTACCTCCGAACCCCCTCGCCCCAGCAGGGCGGCCTCGGCCGCATCCAGGTCACCTACCTCCGCGCCTTGCGCCCCGCGATGCGCGACGCGCGGTCACCTTCGCGCCGTCGCGCCATCGGAGCGAGGTGAGGACCCGGAGGGGAGGCGCGGAGGGGCCATGGGGTAGAATGGGAAGTTTTGGAGGCCCGCGGGGCCTGGAAACAACCCAGACCGTTGGGCGCTGCGTAATGGGGGGGTCATAAATGGGGGGGTGGCGAGGGTGGTTCGAAAGGGTACCCAAACGGTACCTAAACGAGCCCCCTGGGGCTCTGGAGGGGCCCGAAAGGGGCACGAAAGGGGACCTTTTCTGACCCCCCCATTTGTGACCCCCCCATTAAGCCACGCTCAGACCGCTGAACTCCATGGGTGAATGGCCCGACCCTGTGCAGTGGCGTGCAGGTGCAGGGCGCGGCCCTCTCCTCACGTGCTGCTCGCCCTGGGGGGTGTGCGGGTCGGGATCTGCGGAGCAGGCGCGCACAGGCGTGCCGAGTTCCTGTGTGGGGAACGATCCCCTCCTCCTCCTGCTCCCCCTCCTGCTCCTCCTCCTGCTCCTCCTCCCCGCTCCTCCTCCTCCTACTCCTCCTGCCCCCTCCCACCTCCTACTCCTCCTCCTCCTCACTCCTCCTCATCCTCCTCTCCTCCCTCTCCTCCTCCTCCTCCTCCTCCTCCTCTTCTCCTCCTGCCTCCTCCTCCTTGCTTCCTCCTCCTGCTCCTCCTCCTCCTCCTCCCTACCTTCCCTCCTCCTCCTCCCCTCCTCCTCCCCCCCCCCCCCGCCTCCTGCCTCCTCCTCCTCCTCCTCTCCTCCTTCTTCCTTTCCCCTCCTCCCCTCCTCCTCCTCCCCTCCTCCTCCTCCTCCTCCATCCTCCTCCTCCTCTCCTCCTCCTCCTCCTCCTCCTCCTCCTCTCCTCCTCCTCCTCCTCCTCCTCCTCCTCCTCCTCCTCTGCGCGTGCCATTCCCCCCTTGTCCCCCCCCCCTTCCGCGTGCCTCCCCGGTCGGTCGTCTATTCGTCGTCGTTTCCCTTTCTTGGCCACAGGGCTCCTCTTGCGCTTGGAAAAGAAGGGTGCCAGAATTTGCGTGGGTACCGCATCGGGCGCCGTCACGAGTGCCGCATGTGGAGCTCCGTATCGGGCACGATCTGTGCGAGTGGTGTGCCGGACTCGGCGCGGGGATGCCTGCGGGCGCTGTCACCGGTGCCGTAAGAGGAGTTGCCTTCGGGGCATGATCCGCTGGAGGGGTGTGCCGGACTGGGCGAAGCTGGGAGGAGGATCAGGAGATGGCAGGAGAAGCGCAGCGCAAGCAGAGAGAAGGCTATATCCTATCAGCACAGGAAGGGTTGGGAAAGACACCTCGGTCCCTGATGCCCGAGCCTCGAGGAGGTCCGCTCCTCGAGCCTCGATCCTCGATCCGCGAGCCACCTCCGAGGGGGGGGAGGGAGAGGCAGAGCAGGAGAGCAGGGAGAGGCGACGGTGGGGAAAGGGAGCTCCACGGAGGCCTGGAGTGGGCCGCAGGCGTTCAGAACGTCGATCCCCGAGCCTCGAGTCGAGGACCCAGAGGCCTCGATCTTCGAAGGCCCGAGGTTCGACGGCCCTCCTCCGTGGAGGTTCCCTCCCTCGATCCTCGCCTCTCTTCCTCGAAGGAGACCATCGCGGCCAACGCGGCGACCGCGATGAAGAACTCGCTCCACAGCGGCCACGCCCACGCCCACGCCCACGCCCACGCAGCACCAAAGCTCGGGCCCGAGCCCCGCCGCGGGACGGGCAGGAGGGAGGACCTCGGGGTACCTGCAAGGCCCTCCAGAGGCCGCCAGAGAGGGAGGAGGGGGAGGGAGGGAGGGAGGATCGGGGTTCGAGGATCGCGGACAGGGCTCGGGATGCGTTTTGTCCCCTGTGAGCCTCCTGAGGCTTTCGAGGACCTTTGGATGCCCTTCGAGGGACCTCCCGAGAGGGAAGAGGGAAAGGAAGCAAGGTCCACTCGAAGTGGGACCTGCCCAGTGCTGATTGGGACCCAGCATCTTCTGCTGACCGTGCCCCCCCCCCTCCTGGTGATGAGAGATCCTCAGGCTCGCCTGCCTTCCATCTCCTCGTCCACATTGCGGCCCTTAATCACCTCGTCCTCCTCCTCCTTTTCGATCGTCTCTTCCTCCTCCTTTTCCGCTCTTGTGATCGGCTGGATCGAGGATGGGTTTTGAGGATCAGCGGGGTCGGGTATCGCAGGATGAAGGATCGAGAGGCTGGAGGACCGAGAGTCGAAAATCGATGGGTCAGCGATAGATCTAGCGTTGGAGTATCGACGGGCCGATTGTTGTAGGGCCGATGATGATGATGATGATGATGATGATGATGATGATGATGATGATGATGCTGATGCTGATGCTGATGCTGATGATGATGATGATGATGATGATGATGATGATGATGATCAGTTGATCGTTTAATCGAAGGATCGATGGGTCGATGAGTGGATCTGTGACTGGAGGTGTCCAGGGTTCGAAGGATCCATTGTAGAGGATCGGGGAATGTAGGATCGACGAGAAGCTAATCATTTCCTCCCTCTGCCAGTCTAAACGAAAGATCATCTATAAAGAAGGACTCCACTCATACATCCTCTCTGGCAGACGGGGTCTGCTTTTATAGCCTCCCACATAAAGACCATGTGTGAACTCCGTCGCTCGTATAGCCAATACAATTGTAACTTCTTCCTGACAGTAGGTATCAATGGTCAAGCCTCTCTAGCATAATCGATGCAGTTCGAAGTCCCCCCCTGTTGGACGAGAGAGTTCGAGGACGTCTCAAGGTGGAACGCGCGCAGAGACGCCCACGGGGACGCGGGAACCCACAGTTGTGTGGGGGGAACCCGCGGGAGCGCACATGACGACCGCACTTCCGCGTCGCCCCGACGTACTCCTATGATGTTACGGGGCGACGTGCGCGCCGAGAAATCTTCCAGCATAAGCTCCGTGGCCGGCGCTTTCTGGCCACAACGCCAGGCCCGAACCAGCGGCCACGCCAGGCAGTCTTTGAGGATGTCCCCGGCGGGGCGTGTGGCCAAACCGAGCCAAAGAAAACCACGCCACGCCAAGGCAAGGGCTAACCCAGACAAAGTCTGACAACGTCCTGAGCAGAATCGCCCAAACCAGGCTCCACCCACTTCTCTTACGAAAGTTTTCATGATAGGAGTGGATCACCCAAGAAGCGGCCCTCCGCATGCGGAAGCCCATTCAGAATTTTTCGGGGAGCGTGTTTGGACCGCGCGTTCGCTGATGCGGACGGGTCTGGGCGCAGACCATGTAATTTGTTGTACGGGTGTTATTCGGGTTTCGGTATGCCGTTCGGAGTATTCTACCGAGCTTGCACTACAGATCACAATGCAGTAGCCAACGCGTCTCCCAGTGTCGTCCCTAATGCGTGTATTATTCCCACAGTTCTTACTACATGCCCAATTGCCGCTCATTCACATTGCCACCAGTGCAGCTCCCATCACAACTCTTCATACAGCAACTGTTACAGCTGATTGCACAACTCCTGTGACAAGTCCCAGTTCAGCTCCCATCGCGACCTACGCAACAACAACAACAACAACAACCAGGAGTATCAATGTCAGTGCTGTTTCTACGAAAGCGCACGCTGAACTTCGAACCGCAACTCGTAGTACAGACCGATGCAGCTTGCCAACGCGTCTCCCACTGCAGCTCAGTCAGTCAGTGGAGCCGCGCCGCACGGCACATCGGCTAGAAAACACAGGGCTAGTTACATCAGTTTTGGTGCACAAGCTCTCAGAAAACATACGCATGGGCATCGCTTCTCCACCGGGCCCTGCCGTAGGACGGCCCGAGCCAGGCGTGCATAGACGTGCCGGAAGCCGAGCATGCTAGCGACGCATGCTCATGCATTACGCGTACCAATGTCAATCTGGGGCGGCCTCGTGCTCTTCTCCCCTGTGAGATGGGCGGATCAAGGCTCCCAGGTGCAAACACTGCATCACGAGCTGCTGAATCTGGCATGCTACCAAGCTTCCCAAACAAGGCGACCTGCTTCATGAGAATATGGCTACTCAATCGGTGCTGCACTGCTTGATGCCTCACGCTGTCGTTGGGTACGTGGGAGATCATCGATTTCGGAGTCGTCAAATCTTGCGATGGCACTGTGCTTGAAAAGCATCACGTTCATCCCTCTCTGCTTTCCGAAGACACAAGGTCTCGGTGCTGTACGCGAGCTTGGAAATCACGCACGCGTTGAACGAAATGATTTTTGTGCTCCGACCGATGTCCGCGTGTCCCCTATACCAGACATAATGTATCAAAGGCTTCCCCTGGCCTCCCCCAGTCTGCGCGCCAGAGACGCGCCCGCGTCGCAGTCACCGTTCAAAAGGCCTCCAAGGTATAGAGCTGAACTCGCAGTCTTGACTGGGTTCACAGTGGATGTGAGCACTGGCGCCGCATGCCGAACATTTCTGAGTGCACAGCTTTCCCCCAGTTGGGCTCCAGACATTACTTCCACGCACGGTGAACGAGAGGGTGTCAGAACAACTGCAAGCGATGGATGCCATCAGATATCAGGGCGGCGTCATTTGCATACTCTCAGAGCCCCGAATCATCAGGGGTAACTCTGGTCAGGGATAACTCGGGTTCCTTTTTCGGGAATCCGAACCCGAGTTACCCCGGACCCGAGTTACCCCGGATAACTCGGGCGCCCAATACTCTATGTCTAGGCACGTTCTCCCTTCAGCAGGTGGGCCAAGCTCTCGCGCCACCACCTCTTCGACGCCCGTGGGCAACACGGACAATATGAGGATTCACAGCTGCGGACTCAGGGGGGGCACCTTTGCGCGCGACACCGGGCTGTTGGCCGAAAGCGCCAGGATCTCTCTCTGCACATCCCGCGCAACAGAAGTCCGTTTGCCGTAGATACACTCCAGGCGATGCTTAAGAAAACCCAAGTTTTCGGCCAGAGTCTCGATTATTCTTAATGTTTCAATGTAAACCCAAAGATTTGACTAGACACTCTGGGTTTTTATTCAAATTCTGAGACTATGAATTTCTTAACCCATGATTTCTAAAGCATTTCGCAGGGTGTACCTGCAACGGTATTGATATATTCATCCGGAGTGCCGAAGCGGAACAAGGCGATGACCAAAGCAGTCGCGTCCATTCGATCAGGAGCCTTCGACCAGTCGAGCAGCAGCACGGATAGGCAGCCTTTCTTGGTCGACCACGTTTTCTCGATCAACCTCTGAAGAAGAAAATACGCATCGTTGGCTGCACGGCTTCTTTTGAAATCGATCTACGTTGGCCGCAAGGGTTTCTCAACTCCTCCCTCTACCATGCAGTGCAAGACGAAGGCGGCGATGACTTTGCATCCAATTGATAAATGAGAACATAATTTCCCTGGAAGAGACACGTCGCCCTTCTTGAACATAGTGGATACACTAAAGTATTTCCACTGCTTTGGCACGGTCTTTTCCCTCGAGCACACGATACAAAGGTTGAGAAGAACCTCGAAAGAATCTGCGTCAGATCGTAGTCATTTCAAGAGGTCCAGGGGGATGCCGTCAGGTCCCGCAGCTTCCCTGCCCGCAATTTTGTCAATATTGCTGACAGTTCCTCGCTGCAGATCGCTGGTCTACAGAGGCAGCGTAGGACCAATTTTGCCGCCGTGCGGAAGATCTCTGCCAAGCGGCGGAGGTTTCCATTGCACCGTGGCGTGATGTTTGGCCATGGTTTCGTCGCGCTGATTACACTTCCCAAGATGCCCACTCGCGTCTCTGAGCCGCCCTTGTCGCAAGAAACCTTTCCGTTTGAATTGTCTCGAACTCCAAACCCCAGATGTCAACATGTCGTTCATCCATACTTCCCGGACCTTCTTCGCAGAGGCTTTGTTTTGCCGCGACAGCGATCTTTCTCTATCTATCTGGCCGTCCACGCGGGCTTGGTTGCGTTGTTCTACCATACCTAAAAAAAACACCGTCGTGTTTATGGCAGGCTTGCTTACGCAGGACGCCGGTCAAGACACACATCCGCCGCCGCAGTCATGCCGGAAGTGATCCTGGCAGCTCCTATTTTTTCACGCAGTTTTCACTGTAGTTCTTACGCCATGTCCCTTGCAGATCCTAAGATTGTTCCTTCCGCGATTCCCGGACACGGCAACCAGGACAGCTCACAGTGTAGATATTATGTGAATCGGTAGTGCAGATCTCATTCCAACTCTTGCGATTTTCTCCCACTGCAGCTCCTCTACCAGGTCGCACAGCAGTTCTTACAGCAGGCCTTACTAGTTTCCTTATCTGAGCTCCTACAGCAGGTCTTAGGGCTGTGCTTACGACACCGATTGCTATAGGTCTTACTCCGAACCTACAACATGACCAGGAGGGCAGCGGAGCACATGAGAAGGAGGACGATGAGAAGGAACAGAGGATGAGGAGGGAGGAAGAGGAGGGATATGAGGAGAGATGAGGAGAGATAAGGAGGAGGAGCAGGAGGAGGAGGAGGAGGAGGAGGAGAGATGAGGAGAGATGGGGTGGGAGTGGGCGGAACGACGGGCGGGAATCGGATGGGAGTGGGCGGAACGACGTGTGGGAATCGAAGGCGCAGTGGGGAGTGCTGGGGGCAGCGGCCGACCTCGGTCAAGATTGACTTGGCCAAGGCTCTGCTCGGCCAGGCTCAACTCGGCCGGGCTCGATTCGGCCTGGCTCGACTCGGCCAGGGTCAACTAGGCTGGATCAACTCGGCTCTGGCTGCAGCGCGATGCCCAGATCAACCCAGCGGGTTCCTCTCGGCAGGCTCAATCCGGCCCGGTTCCACTCGTCTGGGCTCAAGGCGGGGGCTGCCTCGCCGGTGGGGCTTCGAAACTACCCCCATCTCGTCCTCTTTTTCCGTTGGCCATGTGACAGCCGGGGCTGCCCTTTCCAGCGGGAGCGCTCGAGCTGTTCAACGTGGGGGCTGTCCGGGGTGGGAATCTGTTTTTTGGCGCGTGCGCGGGCGGGCCCTTCGCGTGCGCGAGGCGAGCGATGACGACCGAGTGACGACCGGTGTGGGTGGTGGGGTTGAGATGCTTTGGTACAGGGCTTCGGGTATTAAGGCGGGGGTTTTAGGATTAGGGTCGAGGTATCAGGGATAGAGTTAGCGTCTTAGGATTAGGGTATGAAGGTTGGGGTTCTAAGGTTTGGGGTCGTAGGGTTGAGTGAGGGTTTCAGGGTTTCAGGGTTCGGGTTAGGGACTTAGAGTGCGGGGCTGAAGTTTAGGGTTAGGGCCATAGGGTTAGGGGGCGGGTCAGGGTTTTTAAGGTAAGGGTTCAAATATCAAGGTTGCAGAGTTAGGGTTCCAAGGTTAGGGTGAGGGTCTTAGGATTAGACTCCTATGGTTCGGGTTCTAGGGTTTGGGTTCGGGTTCATGGTCAGTGCTGCGGGTTAATGCCCTAGTGTTGTAATATAGCAGTGTTATAGTGTGGACTGTTAGGGTTAGGGTCTTAGGGTTACGGTTATGGTTTCAGGGCGGGCGTTTGAGGGTCAGGGTCCAGGTCTGAGGGTGAAGGGATTTTCTGGTGGGCGGAGGGAACAGTGAGGAAGGGGGGTGTGTCGAAGCCACCCCCCTCCTTTTGGCATGGAGAGGGGTGGCTTCGAACGGGAGCGCCGAAAAGGAAGTGATGGTAACTAAGCCTTCCACCCTTTGGAAAGGAGGGGAGGGGGTGTAGCTTCCGGGGTGGGGCGCAACATGAGGGGGCCGCGCTTCGGGGGGGGGGGGGAAATGGGGGAGGGGGGGCTTCGAACAGGGGCGCCGGAAGGGATGGGCGGATATCGGGGGGGAAGAAGAGGAGTGGGGGAGGAAAAGGAGGAAAGTAGGAAAGGGGGGAGGAGGTTGACGAGCAGGGGGGGGAGGCAGGAGGAGGAGGAGGAGGAGGAGGCGGAGGAGGAGGAGGAGCAATGGGCAGTGCAACAGATATCCACTCAAAACAGTCAGCCGAGTACGTATTGGGCGCGCTCGGAAGAAGACGTGTCGGGGGGTGAGAAGGAGGGGAGGGGGGAGGGACAAATCAAAAAAGCACCCGCTCAAAACAGTCTTCCGAGCCGCTCGTTTTTGGGCGCGCTCAGAGGAAGAAAGGGCGGTGAGGGAGGAGGAGGATGAGGAGAAGGAGGAAGAAGAGGAGGAGAAGGAGGAGGAGCAATGAGCAGCGCAAAAGAGGTCCGCTCAAAGCAGTCATCCGAGCTGCTCGTTGACTGTTTTGGGCACGCTCGGAAAAAGAAGGGGCAGGGGTTGGAGGAGGAGGGGGAGGAGGGAAGGGACAGTGCAAAAGAGCACCCACTCAGAACAGTCAGCGGAGCCGCGCGGTTTTGGGCTCGCTCGGAGGAAGAAAGGGCGGGGAGGGAGGAGGAGGAGGAGGAAGAGGAGGAGGAGGAGGAGGAGGAGGAGGGGGAGGAGGAGGAAGGAGCAGTGCAAAAGAGTATCCGCCAAGATGTCACCCGAGCTGCTCGGTGGCTGTTCCGAGCATGCTCGGAAGAAGAATGGGCGGGAAAGGGAGAAGGAGGAGGAGGAAGAGGAGGAGGAGGAGGAGGAGGAAGAGGAGGAGCACGGGGCAGTGCAACGGAGTGCCAGGTCAAAGCAGTCGGTGACTCTTTTGGGGGGCTCTAGGATGCAAAAGGGGCGGGCGAGGAGGAAGAGGAGGAGTAGGAGGAGGAGGAGAAGGGACAATGCAAAAGAGCACTCGCGTTGTAACAGTCACCCAAGGCGGAGGAGGAGGAGGAGGAGGAGGAGCAGAAGGAGGAGGAGGAGGGAGAGGATGAGAAGCAGCTGCGGGTGGGCACCTTGCGGGTGACATTACGATGGATCGTAGCCTTGGGAGCGCGAGAGCTGCACTACGTTCCTCAGTCCCACGTCGATCAGCGTTCCCGCTCGGATTCAAGGATCCCAACCTTTAGGAAGGGCGCCCAACCCGTGTAATTTCGATGGATCGTAGCCCTAGGAGCGCGGTGACTGCTCTACTCATCACTCGCTTGGTTTCACCTCACGCGAGCGCGAATTCCAAGCGCCTGCCAGGGCTTAGTCTGCTCGCCCGCGAGGGTCCGGTACGTCTGAGACGCCACTGACACATCGCGCCGACAACTCCGCATCAACTCGGCCAGGTCCAACTCGGATGGCTCACCTGGGCCAGGCTCAACTCGCCGGGACGAATTCGACTGGTGAATTCGGCCCCTGACGAATTCGGTCAGATCCACTCGACCCGGATAAGCTCGCCACGCGCTGAGTTGGGACGGGTTTAACTCGGTCGCGGGCTCAAGTCGGCCTGGATCACCTTGGCTGGAACAACTCGGCCAGCCCTTCCAGCTGCAGAGGGGGTTCCCGATGAACTCGGCCAAGCTGTACCATGTATGTGATCAGATGTATACATTGAAACACGTGTGTTAGCCTATGCCCCACATGTGGCTACACATCTACATGTACACTCTGACACTGCCAAGTCGTCGCGGAGCCAATCGCAGCTCAAAGCTCCGTTCACGCGTCCAGCTCACTAGGCAGCACGGCGATGTGACGGCGGTGCCCTCTCCTGGGCTTGCATCTGTGCCGCTCCCCCCCCCCTCGGCACCTGAAGGTCGCGCCCCTGCCTTGCGCCCCCTCCTGCTGCTCCCCTCCGAGGTCGCAGCTGGTCGCGTCGGCCTGACCGTGCCCTGGGACGCGCGGCAAGGTTTGACTTGTCGACGCGGCCCTGGGGAGACGCTTCTGCTCCCTCCCCGTGCCCCCCTTCCCGCCCTTTCGGATGCAACTCCTGGGGGGTCACATTCTGATCTTGCCCTGGTCCGAAATCCGGCTCAATCCGGCTCAATCCTGTTGAACCCAGCTCAATCCCGCTTAACCCCGCTCAATCCCGCTTAGTCCTCGGCCTAATCCGGCGTAGCAGCCCCCCAATGGGGCCTGATTCTCTTTCATCCTTCCGACGAAGACCTCCCAGTAGTTGCCTCCTAACTCCCTTCCTCCCTTTTTGCTCGAACAGCTAGAAATCCATGGGTATATACTTTCTGCGGTCTGGGCGGACATCTTGCGTCGGCGCCGGACCTTCCGAAGCGCGCCAGGGGCGGCGCTGGAGTCGCCGCCAGGAGGGTGGGTCAGCGCCGACCCAAGAAGCTTGCGCGGACATCCGAGAGCTATCTGCATGTGGGGCGTTCCAAAAAGGGCCTTGCCTTCGAGGATCGGAAGAGATGTCGTCTCTTCCTCGGCGGAAGGCGGCGGAAGGGCGGCAGAAGGTCGGCGGACGTAAAACGAGGCCGCCTCCGCCGGCGGCAGCTCGGCGGAAGGCGGCGGAAGTAAAAGATGCCCCCCCCAAGAGATGAAACCGCTTTGGGGTTCAGGGTTTCTGGAATCCGCCATATGTGAATGCAGCCTTGATTAGTTATGTTACCGCCCCCCCACTCGCCTCGTCCTGTTTGCCCCCCGCCATCCCCTTTTGCCACTTCCTCCTCCCCCAGGCATCCAACGTATTGACAACGATGAGTTCGGAGTTTGTTTCATAATGTTTGGCTTGTGGAGGCCTTTTCGGGCTCCGAGCCCTTCACGAACAAAGCCGAGAGGAACAAGCGCGGTGTCCGCACCTTATGCAGAGGTCTCCAGAGGCGTCCCGAGGCCCCAGAGGCTACCAATCAGCTAAGCACGTGAACGAATGCTGATCCTCCTCCCCTCCCTCTTCCCTCCTCATCCCTCCCCCTCTCGCCCCCTCGCCCTTCTTTGACCTCCTGGTAGCCTCCCCTCTCCCTGGCCGTTGTCACTCCATGCGCCACGGACGCGCTCGTAGTGTGTCTCAGCCTGTGATGTCGCCTCCCCGGCCACAGGCCGTGACCTTTTCCCCCGTTCTCCGTGCGCCTCGGATGCGCCAGCAGTTGTATAGCCGAGGGGCTGCACTCCGTTGTCCAATGCGGCGGCGAGCGAGGGCGCGAGGTGAGAAGGAGAAGGCCTTCTCATAAGGCGGCGGGACTTCTCAGAAGCCCTCGCGCCTTCTGAGAAGTTTTCTCTGCCTCCAGGGAAGGCTTGGGAGACTTCTCAGAAGGCTTGGGGGCTTCCGAGCCTTCTGAGAAGGCCTGCCCCTTCTCACTTCCCCCCCTTGCTCGCCGCCTACGAATACATGTGCCAAACATTGGTTATGAGATAAGAGGCACGCTGCCTTAGCAAGTGGCCGCCCCCCCCCTCCCCGCTCCGCTCTGTACACCTGCCAGTCCCAGACCTCCGTCGTCGTGTTTCGTGCCTCCTGGGCCCCTTCTGACCCCTTCCCAGCGGGACCAGCTTCCTGACGGCTCCGGGGCCCGAAAACAGCATCGATGAGCAGCGCCAGTGTTGAAGCATGAAGGTGCCAGAGTTTCCCGCACAGGACGTCAAGCCGGAGCGCGCGCTACCGCGCCAGCCTCTCTGGACGTGGGGCTCGTGGAGTGGGCAGGGCACGATCCCCGACGCAAAGCGAGTAAGGTGGAATTGCTCCGGCTTGGACTAGCAGTGGATGAGGAGGGCCCGCATGCAGGCGGGAGGCGTGACTCGCACGCAGGGCACATGACAGAGGGATGACGAGGACGGACGCAGGCGGGATAAGGAGCGAGGGGATGGGCTGAGAGAGCAAGAGCCCCACTCGGGATGTGGGGAACAGAGTAGGGAAGGCGTCGAGGACAGACGGGGTTGGCGAAGCAGAAGGGGGCAGAACACATGCTAGAACCACGTATTCGTTCTGCCCGACGCGACCACACGTGCGCACCGGAGTGCCCCAGAGACACCGAGGTGTCTCAACGGCCCCAGAAGCCCTCAACGACAACACATCAAGCGATCCACTACCATGCCAACTTGATGATGCAAGCTCTTGATTCGATGGCCCGCTGTGGTTTCTGCTGCGCCGTGCGCGGCCCGCTGGGCACGATGGGGAGCGCTCCCGCGTGGCCTCCCCGTGGGTTGGGAATCGTGCTGCCGAGCCTCCCCGGAGTTGCGCCGCTCCCGCGCGGGATCTGAAGGCCCCAGTGGCTGGGGCCGCGGAGTGGGACTCCGTGCAGCATGCCCGCAGGAAGGGAGGCGGGTCTCGCGCAGCGCGCTCGCCGGACGAGGTCGGCCGGGCCTCGGCAATGCAGCAGTCTGCGCGCCGTCTTGCCGAAGGCTCTCCTCCCGAGAGCTCGTGTCGACCGCCACCCTCCCGATCGAAGGGAGGCCCGGCCTCGAGTCCCAGGCGGCCCAGCGCACAGAAGCGAGAGGGCGGTGGACGGTGCGGAGCGCCAGAAACGACGGTGCGGAACATGTGGGAAGCATGCAACGGAGGGGGGAGGGAGGAGGAGGAGGAGGGAGGAGGAGGAGGAGGAGGAGGAGGATGAGGAGGGAGGAGGAGGAGAGGAGGAGGAGGAGAGGAGGAGGAGAGGAGGAGGAGGAGGAGGAGGAGGAGGGGTGAGGGGGAGGGGGGGGTGGAAGTGTAGGGGAGGGGAGGGGGAGGGGGTGGAGGGGGAGGGGGAGGAGACGGGGATGGGAAGAGAGTCTGAAGTTAGCCAGGTCGGACGAGCCAGCGGGTCCCGTCCATTCCCACCCTCCTCCTTTCTCGCAGCATCTACAAGCCGACCGTGGCGCCATGTGGTCTTGGACCTGTCAGGCGTGCCCATGGGCGACCAGAAGGCGCACGCGCGCGGTCCAGCTTCCGACGCCTCGCCAGGGCGGGCAGAGACAAGGGCGCACACGGGCGCGAGCGGAAGCATCGCCCAGAAAGTCGTCGCGCAGCGCTGCGGCGAGAGCGCTTGCGCGGCGACGTGTCCGCGGAGCGCCTGCGAGGGCGCAAGCACGCGGCGCCCCGAGCCGAGCGCTGCCGGTTTTCGCGCAGACTTCCGTGCGGCGCTCGGGCGAGAGCCGCACAGGTCACCCGTTCTCTCGCGCGATGGGGCCCGCTGCCTGTGCTGCTGTCACGCAGCGCGGGCGGAGGACGCGGAGTGGGGGGGGCGATCGAGGGGGGGGGGGGCAGCGAGGGCTGCCGCACAGGGGCCCTCATAAGGGGGCCCCTTCAGGGGCCGGAGAGGGCACGTTTCTCGCCACCCCCCCCCCCCAACTTGTCGCCCGCCATGAATTCGCGCCCAGAGTTCGGCGACCAAAACACGTGCGCCGCGCTTGTGCGGGAACGAAGTGCCCAGGCGACAAAGTTGAAGGGGGCTCGGGCGAGGGCGCCCGCTCGCCCGCTCGCACACGGCCCCGCCCAGCACGGCTCGGTGAGCTCTCGCAGGCGAGACCTGCGCGGCGCCGGGGCGGGAGCGACACCTTCGCTGCCCGCCGCACGGCCGCTGGGACGGCCCTGCTGTTCGACGAGTTTGGGCGAGCGAGGCATCTGCACCGCGCCCACGCAAGAGCTCGGGTCTCAGGACAAGTGAGCCCAGTGCGATGCGCCGCCCCTTCGCGCGCGGTGTGCGCTCCCCGTCAAAACCCCGGCCACTGCTGTCCCAACGTCGACGACTGGCCGCCCACGTTGAAGCGGAAAGTGTAGATGCTGTGTGGCTTTGTTCTTCCGATGAGATGGAATGGCCCGGGCAAAGCGCCTGCCTGTCAGTTGCGGTCGGGACATTTGGCTCAGCGTGTCGCGCCACTGGTGTTACGTCGGGTATGTCCGTCTACAGGAGGAATATTCAAAAATTGTAAGCAATAGTCAGCGGACGATTTTTCAAATTATTGTTTGACTATTGGGGGATAGTTTGGGGTATTTTTATCTTGTTGCCCAAAACCCCCCTGCAGGGGGACGTTTGGCTCAGCGTGTCGCGCCACTGGTGCTGGCCCCCCGCGCTGCGGCGCGCCTCGCTCACCACGTCCCAGTCTCTGGTAAGTCGTCGCCCCGAGCCTTCCCGAGACCTCCCTCCCGCGAAGCGAAGCGACGCGCTCTCCGCGAGCAGGGTACGGCGCGTCGCCGGGGCCGCCGCCGCGCCACGCTGAGCAGCAGGTTCTGTCCGTGGGTGGCAGAGCGGGATCGTTCGGGGATGGTCTGAGAAACAACCAGCCCACTCACGGTGTGTGGAAGAGCGAGGTGTGAGGGTGGAGCTCGTGAAGTGGGAAGGGGTGCGACCCCTGATCCAGACTCGGAGTGTATCACAGGGAGGTTGGAGGTGGAGGATGAGGAGTGAGGGAGGGAGGAGGATATGTGGAACGGCATATGGGATATGAGAGTGAGGAGGAGGAGGAGGAGTAGGAAGGAGAGGAGGAGAATAGGAGGAGGAGGAGGGAGGAGGTGAGGGCGGGTAGGATGGGTGTGGAGTGGATGGGAGGAGGAGGAGTGAGGAGGGAGGAGGGAGGAGGATGAGGGAGGAGGAGGAGTGAGGAGGGAGGAGGGAGGAGGATGAGGAGGGGGAGGAGTGCGGCGCTTCCCCACGGCCTCCTTGGAGGTGGGGATCGTGGAATGGGAAGGGAGGTGGAACTCGTGGATGTGGAAGGGCGCGATCCCTGTGAGCAAGACACGGTGCCAGGCTGGGTGTCGCGCTCCCGCGCAGCCTCCTTGGTGAATCTCGTGGAGCGGGAAGGGTTCGATCCTTGTGGACTACAGTGGTGTGGGGATTGGCTTTGCGCTCACGCGCAGCCTTCTTGGAGTTGAGAACTCGTGGAGCGGGAATGGCGCGATCCCTCCGAAACAGCAGGGAGGGAGGATCGGTGTCGCGCTCCCACGCGGCCTCCCTCTGGAGGTGGGGGCCCCGAAGGCGGGGGCGCGCGGAGGAGGGAATTTGTGCGGTGTGCTCTGCAGTGCTCGCAGGCGGCGGGGCTTGTGCATTGC